CCCCAAAACCCCAAAACCCCAAAACCCCAAAACCCCAAAACCCCTTATGGAGATTAAAAAATTGAATTTTAAGTAAAATTTGTAGCTGATATGAGAAATCTAAAACGAAGTGTTCAAGCAGTTAAGAAAGAATATTTTGCATTAATTATCTTCTAAAGCACATCAATGAAGTATTTCTCAAACCTCTCCATGAAAGCTTCATCACTGAATTGGCTGATTGCAGACTCTCTCGCTGTGCTTCTAATCTTTCTTCCTGTTGAGGAGTCGTAGGTCTTAAGAGCTACGTACATGGTTTCTGCAAATTCTTTGGGTGTTCTACAGAGATAACCTTTGTGACCTCCTTCTTGAATGATGTCTACATAAGGACCTCCACTCTTATGGGCAATTGTGATGAGTCCTGCTGCCATCATCTCTACAATACTTATCCCAAAATGCTCATTCTTCATGGTATGGATAGCTACCTTGGCTTCAGACATAATATCAATGACTTCTTCTTGAGGGAGGTTTTTCAAAAATGTAATATATTTATCAATACCTAGGTCTTTGGCTTCTCCTTTAAGATTAGCTAGCAAGCGTTCATCATCTGAATTCCTACAACTTCCAATCATATAGAAATGAGGTGAGATATCCCTATGATCCTGTAGGAGCTCATAGAAGGCTTTCAACTGTGTAGATTGGTCCTTTTCCGGTCTATATTGAGCAAACGAGACAATAATATTCTTCTTACGATTGTCGATCGGGATCTTACTAAAAGCTGTAGTATTTCATGGCGGGTAAACCCTCTGAATTCTATCAGAGTTTGTCCATAAGCTCTTACAGTGGTTTTGAGTCCACGAAGAGTTAGTCATAATTACATCTGCTGCAAACCCAACTGTCTTATATAGCCAAAGCATCATGTTGTAGTAATAGAACTTATATCTCGGCAGATGAGTGTCAATCATGTCAGTTTGGATAGATGGATAATGGGTGTATGACACTATTTTAGTAAATGGACACAAAAGTTTGACAAATGGATATCCAAACCCAACTCCAATAGTATCCACAAAAATATCAGGGGGTCATGTATTAATAGCTTCAATAACTGAGACAATATTTCCAATAGCTTGACTTAGGAGTGATAACTTAATTACTGAGTGTTGGTCAGTGAAATATCTTCTAGTAATTCTTACTAATTGGAATTCAAAATCAACTCTAAAGTTGAACCTAGCTGCTGCTTTTTGTACAATCTCTCTGGCATCTTGCTCTTCTACTGTATAAACTATCACCTTGCTTTTAGTTCTAGCAGCTATCTCTGAGATCGCTTTCAAGGCCAAGAATAAGACTTTTTCTCCCCCGCCACATGAATTTGTGAATGGATGGTAAAATCCAATTATTTTATCGCAGGAAAAGTCTTGCTTAAGGACATTTCTCTTGCGATTGTTAACAAAACACAAGAATATTATGCAGGCAATGAGTCATAAGGAAAAAACAGAGCAAAACGCAATGGTTAATTCGGCTAAGAGGTAAATTTGATCTATCATATTTTTAAATTATCAATTAAGGAATAGATTTTTGGGGTTTTGGGGTTTTGGGGTTTTGGGGTTTTGGGG